ATATATCAAAAAAAAAAAGGATATGGAAAAAAAATCACTAATTTTATATGGAAAGGAAAGAGATCTCAAATAAGCAAATCACTATTGAAGAACTACAAAGTAAGAGGTCTCACACTGCCAGATCTCAAAACCTACTCTACAGCCACAGTAGTCAAAACAGCCTGGTACTGATACAAAGACAGACACATAGACCAGTGGAACAGAATTGAAAACCCAGAAATAGATTCATCAACTTATGATCAACTGATTTTACAAAGGGCTGAAATCCATTAAAGGGGGATGAGGTGGTATCTTTAACAAACGGGGCTGGCAAAATTGGATCCATTTGCTGAAAAATAAAACAAGATCCATACCTCACATCATACACAAAAACTAACTCCAGATGGATGAGAGACTTAAATGTGAAACCTAAAGTGATAAAGTTCCTCAAGGAAAAAATAGGGGCAAATTTAGGGGCCTTAATTTATGGCATAAATAGGCTATCAAGCATCACTCAAAATGCACAGACAGCTGAAGATAAACTAGATTAATGGGACCTTCTAAAAATTAAATTTTTATGTGTTTCAAAAGATTTCTCCAAGAGTAAAAAGAGAACTTACAGCTTGGGAAAAAATATTTGGTAACATCATATCTGACAAGAGACTTATCTCTAAAATTTATAGAAAACTCCAACACCTCAACAAGAAAAAGATTAATGATCCAATTAAAAAATGGGCAGAAGACATGAATAGACACTTCACCAAGAAGATATTCAGGTGGCCACCAAATACATGAAGAAATGCTCATAATCATTAGACATCAGAGAGATGTGAATCAAAACTACAATGACATACCATCTCAACCCAGCACTAAAGCAAAGTTCAACAAGACAGAAAATAACAAATGCTGGTGAGGATGTGGAGAGATTGGGACTCTCATACACTGCTGGTGGGACTGTCAAATGATACAACCACTGTGGAAAGCAGTATGGCAATTTCTTAAAAAGCTGGAATGAGCAGTACCATTTGATCCCACAATCCCATTACTGGGTATATATCCTAAAGAAGTGAGAGCCAGGACAAGAACAGATATATGCACACACATGTTCATCACAGCACTATTTACAATAGCAAAAAAGATGGAAACAACCTATGTGCCCATCAACAGAAGAATGGATAACCAAACTATGGTACATAGTGGAACACTATACAACCCTAAAGAATAATGTAGAGTCTGCAAAACACCACATAACATGGATGAACTTGGAGGATATTATGCTGAGTGAAATAAGTCAATCACACTAGGGCAAATATAGTATTAGTTCATTATTGTAAAAAGTCAAGGAAAAGTTTATATATGAAAGGAAACTTTCTTTGTTGGTTACCAGGGGTGGGAGGGGAGAGGAGGAACACTGTATAAAAAAAAAAAAAAAAAAAGCATTGACCCATGTCACTTTAGTTTTGTGTATTTCCCTGTACATAAATTATATTTCAACAAAATGTATTTAAAAGAAAAAAAAAAAAAAAAACCTATGGAGCACAATTCTACTCTAACATACACGGGGTTGCTTTGCATCAGAAGTGATTCAACAGCAACCAACTGGTGTAGTCCCTAACACAAGAAGTGCTAAAGGAGTGTTTGTTGAATGAAAGAATGAGTGAATGAATGAATGGGTGTCAACTTCTATTTTCTTTACAAAAATCTGTTACAGAAGATTTTTTGGGGGAGGGAGAACGGTGTTAGGGGCAGTGATGGGAAAACCTTCCAAGTGTTTGCCCATAGGGGTTGCTCCAGTGTTGGTTCCCTGGCTCCCCCAGGAGTCACAGAGTTTCTAAACTGTAGGATTGAGAGCCTGGCCTCTCATTTGACTCAGTATACAGAAAGGAGGTAATGGCACTAATGATTTCTCCTTTTTAAGCTCTTACTATCCACCAACCATCAAGCTTGGCACCTTTTACAGTGCTCTAACTGGGCACTTTGAGGTGTGGCATTAATGTTCCCATTTCACAAAGGTGGAGACTGATGGTCAGAGAGGTTAGGTGACTGCATCAGGTCACACAGCCAGGTAGTGGCAGAACAGGGATCAAAATCAGTTCTGTCTGACTCTAGCATAGAAGAGCTAGGTATGGCTCAACCCTGTGCCACCTGTGAGACCCTGGGCAAGGGGGTTCATCTTTCTCAGCCTCAGCCTCTATTGTCTACATGAGAATAATGACAGCTTGGCTTTGCCTGTCCATAGAGTGAAGGTGGAGCCAGATAGGGACAGGCTCAAATATCTGTTAAGATTAAGAGAATGTGTACCCATCCCCCATTCCAATACCTGCTGGTTCTGATCCATAGTGTCCTCCGTGTGGTACAGCACAGCCCACCTGCCCACAGCTGACACATTGACCCACAGGCATGGGTATTGAGGTACTTTCTTGCCCTCCAGTTCCTCCTGGTCCCTGATGTTGGTCTCAATCAGGTGGCATGTGGATTCCTGGGTCCATATGCTGGGGAGACCACACACACACACACACACACAAACACCAAACACACACATACCCTTCAGAACCAGAGTGATACACAGAGTACCTCAGTTTGAACCTCTGATCCCCTACCCCTAGGAGGCATTAGACAGATGTAGGACTGGGACCCTCATCCTGCCCCAGACTCCAGCACTGAAAGGAGCATGATTCCGGGGCTGCTAGACACAGAGACAGAATCATAGAATCAGAATATCAGAGCTGGTCAGGGCCTCAGACATCATCTATGTGTCTGGTTCCTAACTTTGGCCGCTTATCTAAAACCTGGGAATCTTTAAAAAACATATTTCCATGCCCAAACCACACCCAAGAACAAGTGCATCAAAATTCAATTGGATGGGTAAGGCCAGCCCTGGGTTGTTTTTTTTTTTTTTTTTTTTTACAAAGCTCTCCCTGACAATTCTGATGAGCAACCAGGATCAAGACATACCCACATGATCAGAGAAGCTCATAATGGGCAAGTGACATCTCTGAGACCACACTGGACTGGAAGCCAGGCCTGGTGGCTTCAGAATCTTTGCCCTTCACCTAGAAAGACTAGATGTCAGAGGGATTCGATTTGTGCAAAGGTGAGGAAGAGAGTGAGGATGGAGTTTAATCTTCAGAAAATGTGCTGGAGGCACATGGCTGTTCCGAGCAGTGCTGCATTGGGGAAGATTCCAGCCTGGAACTGCTCCAGGGTTCTAAAACGTGAGGAGGTCCGGACTCAGGAGAGACCAACAGGCTCATCAACACATAAGTGAATCAACTGTGACTTATCAGGTGGGAGACCCACTGCCAGATGTGAGTGGTGGGCTGTCAGCAGTTAGAATGTGCCAAGAGGCAAGGATCTGAGACTTATCCTAAGGACAGGCAGAGAGAACTGAGTGTGTTTGTTCCAAAGAAGAGGAACATCACAGCTATTCTTTAAAAGCTCCAATAGTTGACACCTCAGGAAGGACACTGAACTTTCTCTTGAGGTTGCTCAATGTAAACACTTCCTACTTATTTGAAAAGTCCAAAAGTAAAGTGGTGTGAACAGTGAGGTAGTGAGCACCTCATCACTTGAGATATTCAAGAGGCTGGAAACCCACCTGACTGGTATATTTCAGAGAGGGAGTCAAACAAATAAGCTATAAGAGTCTGTGAATCTCTGATTCCTCCTGGGATCAAACTCACACTGCATCTCTTGATCAGATCCTTCACTGTTTCTGTGAGAAGAGTGTCCTGCACCTGTTACCTCCAGATCCCAGACCAGTGGGGCTTATTCCAACCTACTCTCACCACACTTCAACCCTTGAACCTTAGAATGAGGATTATCTAGACTTTCTTACTGGTGTGAGGGTCGGGGGAGGGGTAGGAAGAAAGCATGTTGCTCATAGACCCCAGACCTTTAGGGGAGATCCTTGGAGAAGGCGGTCTGGGAGGGGTGGTTACCTTTTCTGGTAGAGGGGCAGCACGGTGGTACCCAGGATGTAGTACGTGATGACAGCACACACAACCATAGCCACACCCAGGCAAAGGGCTCGAGTCTCTCCCCGCTTCTGGGCCATCACCAACTTTTTTCCCATGTCCACCGGAGGAAGTGATCATCTCTAGGGTCAGAGAGGCAAACAGGAGTGAGATCAGCACTGGTGACAGGTAAGCCACAGAGAGGAAGAAAGATGAAAGAAGAAGTTGCAAAAATACCAACAACGTTGCCCTTATTTTTATACAAAGCTTTGCAACTACTAGAGGGCTTTATGGCCCTATGTAAGCCTCCTACCAGCTCTGAGAGGTGAGTATTATCACCCCCATGGGAGATTCATGGCTCAGAGTGGTAAAGGAATTTGCTCAAGGTAGGTCAAGTAGTGAGCTGCTTGGCTGAATAATGACACCCCCCTCCAAAAAAAAAAAAAATGTACATGTCTTAATCTCTGGACCTTGTGAATGTTACTTTAAATGGCAAAGACTTGCAGAAGTGATTATGAATTTTGAGATGGTGTTATCCTGGATTACCCAGGGTAATTGCAACCACAAGGATCCTTGCAAGAGACAGGAAGTGAGAAGTCAGAAACAAAGGAGGAGAAGGAGATGTGAGCACAGGGCCTGAGACTGCAGTGATGCAGCCACAAGTCAGGGAGTGCCGGTAGCCCACAGAGGCTGGAGAAGGGAAGGTACAATGGAGTCTCCCCTAGAGCCTCTGGAGAGAGCACAGTCTTACCAATACCTTGATTCCCAGTGATGCTGGTTCCAGATGTCTGGCCTCCAAAGCACTGAGAGAGTAGCTTTTTGCTGTTGTGAACCACCAAGTGTAATGCCATTTGTTACAGCAGCCACAGGAAACTAATACAGTGAGTAAGCAATAGATGTGGAACATCATATACTTTCTACTAGGACACTCTGTCTCATAGAGAAATGTGAAGTGTTTCACAGGCCACGGCAGGGCTGGCTGGGCACATGGAAAAAGGAGGAGGGTCCCCAGATGGCAGCAGTAAACACAGAGGTAGGAAAGAGGTTTTCCCTAGGTACGATGTCTTTAAGGGCAGACTATCTCCTTTAAGCAAGGGAGAAAGAAGAAAAAAAATTGCTATTTTGAGTCAATTCCAACTCATGGAGACCCCATGTGTGTCAGAGTAGAACTGTGCCCCATGGGATTTTCAATGGCTAATTTTTCAGATATAGATCACCAGGCCTTTCTTCTGAGACACCTCTAAGTGGACTCAAACCTCCAACCTTTTATAAAACAGTTGAGTAATTAACCATTTGCACTACCCAGAGACTCTGAGGGAAGAAGACTACGCTCTTATTTCAGGGCATGGGCCAAAGCAGAATGGGGGAAAGTAGCTGACAGCATTTGCTTTTCCTCCTTCTTCTGGCAAAAGCCCCCTGTTTATCTTTGGGGGATCTACCCCACCCAAATGCAAGCAAAGAATCTCTCCTTCCCCTGCTAGGTCCACAGGACACTCTCTCCCAGGACTACAAATCTGGCCAAAGTATTCTTAAGAAACAGTCCATTAATCTGTGCAATGTAGAGCCCCCAAAAGTAGTGCAAATAGTTTTAGGCTCACAGCTAACAGAAAGGTTGGAGGTTCAAGTCTATTCAGAGACACCTCAGAAGACAGGCCTGGAGATCTACTTCTGAAAAAGCAGCCATTGAAAACCTCATGGAGCACAGTTCTACTCTGACACACATCGCAGTCGACTTAATGCACACTGGAAACCTAGAGCCAAAAACCTGCCCAGCTTCCTTCACTTTTGCAGACTTTCCCTTGGTTCTGTGAGCTGCCCCATAACCTTCCAGTAAATTTCTTTGTTGTTGCTGGTTACTGGTTGGTTGAAGTTAATCAGAGTCTACCTCTACAGCAGATACAAGGGTTGCAGAGATTCTTTCTCTATAACTCCCTGTTTGCGGATAAATTTTAACCAGATGTTGTTGTTGTTGTTATTTGCCGTCGGGTCAGCCCTGACTCATAGCAACCCCTCCTTGGGTTTTCGAGGCAGTGTCACTACGGAAGTATGATTGCCCAACCTTCCTTCCGAGGAGTGGCTGGTGGGTTTGAACCGCCAGCCTTCTGGTTAGCAGTCAAGTGCCTTAGGCACTATGCTACCAGAGCTCCATAACCAGATATTAGGGGATGAAAAAAAAAAAAACACCACTGCCATCGAGTCAGTACGGCTCATAGGAGCCCTACCTTGGGTTTCTAAGGTGATATCTCTACAGAAGTATGGAGGACATTTTCTTCCCCTGCCAGATCAAAACCCAAGAAAAAGAACAAAAACCTCACTGCTATTGAGTCAATTTCAACTCATTGCAACACCCTTTGGGTTTCCAAGGCTGTAAATCTTTATGAAAGCAGAAAGACAGCCCATCTTTCTTTCATGGAGCTGTTGATGGGTTCGAACCACCAACCTTTTGGTTAACAGCCAAATGCCTCAACCATTACACCACCAGAGCTCCATAAAGTATTAAATACATTATTTTTATAAATTAGTGTGGCCAAGACATGACTCCAGAGGCTTTCCAGAAAAGTCTTCTGTTTTCCACTCAGGCTTCTCTCCTAACTATTACACTGTTTCAAGTGTCCAATCAGAGATCCTTAACCCCGTTAAACCAAACAAACCAAACTCACTGCCAACAAGTCGATTCCAACTCATAGAGACCCCACTGGGTTTCTGAGGCTAGAAATCTTTATGGAAGTAGATTGCCCCATCTTCCTTCTGCTTGACCCCCTTGTTGTTGTTGTTGTTGTTATGTGCCGTCGAGTCAAACCCGACTCATAGCGACCCCTCCTTGGGCTTCCGAGGCAGTATCACTACGGAAGTAGGATTGCCCAACCTTCCTTCCGAGGAGTGGCTGGTGGGTTTGAACCGTCAACCGTCTGGTTAGCAGGCAAATGTCTTAGCCACTATGCTACCAGAGCTCCCCTTACTCTCCCCTAAAGGCATTGCCATTGAATCAGTTCTAACTCGCTGTGACTTTATGGGTTACAGAGTAGAGCTGCTCCATAGGGTTTTTATGGCTGTCATCTTTACAGAAGCACATTGCTAGGCCTTTTATTATGGTGTCACCAGGCAGGTTTGAGCCAACTAACCTTTAGGCTGTTGTTGAGTGCACACTGTTCGTACCACCCTTTCTCCCCACCCCTCTCTATAGTGCCCTAAAGAGGAGAATCTACATTCAAGCATTAAGGATACAACCCTATTACTACCTCTCCCTTTCTACTCAAGATGATGGACAAGAATGATAACCCATTATGACTTTTCCTCCCTCACCTCAGGCACTGAGAGGTGGGATTCTTCTAAATTCTAATGGAGATGTAACAAAGTAGCAAGTAAACACAATGTTCTCCTCAAAAGATGTTGTGTAGTTCCTTTCTATTTATTCCTTCTATTCTATTATCTCAGGAGCTCTGGTGGCATAGTGCCTAAGGCACCGGACTACTAACCAGATAGTTGGCAGTTCAAACCCACTAAGCACTCTACAGAAAGAAGATGGGCCTATCTAATTCTGTAAAGATTTACTGCCTTGGAAACCCAGTAGGGGTTGCTATGAGTCAGGATTGACTCAATGGCAACGTGTGTTTTGTTATTCTATTATCTTATGGGGATGGGACAGCCCACACCTTAGGTTACCTGGTGCCAGTTTAAAAGCCCATCCATGTGTTCACAGGTATAGGAACATCATCACATGGCACAGAAGCAAAAAGACTCCCATGACCCACTTCCCCAGGACTGTTCAGGGTCACTGGCATGTTGGCCCACCCCATGGAGTACAAGGAACTTGTGGCTCAGGGCTAACAGGCAATCATGCCTTAGAAGACCCAAGTAAAATACCCACTTCTCCCCTGGGAAAGCTAAGATATACTTGTGTGAAAACTTCCCTTGGCCTGACCCCTACTTTTCTGGCTAATCATTCCCCCACCTGCCACAGGTCACTGTCCCTTCCGATTCATGTGTCCTCCCAGCTGTCTGGACACTCCTGAGATGATGAAGTCAGGAATTCTGATGTTACAGGTCTGAGAGGTCAGGTGGAAAGGAGGGGAGAGGCAGTCACAGGGATGCCTTGAACATGTGGTTTGCTCAGACCTCGCCACTCTGTAATGCCTTTGAGGGGGCACCACCCCAAGCAAGGGTTTTGTAGAGTCATGTTAAATCCTAAGACCACACTAGGAGATGGAATTAACTAGGAGACTTGGCCAGAATTTGAGATTCAATATCCATAATGAAAACCTTCAAACAGGAGGAAGGATGGGAGCTGTTGATACACCCTGAGGCTCAGACAGGAAAAAATAGGTGTCAAGTGAAATAGGGAGGATTTCAGCTAGATTCCAAGAAGAACTTCCCAGTTTACAGAGTTACTAAATATCTCTGGATCTTTTTTCTTCCCATTTAGAAAAGTACCTTGACATCTAGGATATATTTAGGGAAGATGGAAAAGAGCTAAGAAGGAAGGATTTTGGAGGATCCTGTGTGACCCTACACTTGGGTTGACATCTTTTTCCTTATAAAGACAGAGAATAGAGTACAATGTTTAAGGGCTTGATGGGATCAAATCCTAGCTATGCCACTTATCAGCCAAGTGACTATAAAGTGAGGATAATAGTACCTGCTTTAAAAGAGTTGTGATAAAGATCAAGTGAATTATCAAAATTTAATAAGTTTAGCATAGTGTCTGGCCAGTGGAAGCCCTCAATAAACAGAAGTTACATTACTAACTAAGGAAACCATGGAGGTTTGGAGGTGAAGCCTGGAGCCCTCCTGCCAAGGGTATTGTTTGTCCCATTTGAGTCCACTGTGACAACAGCCAGCTGGGCTCCAGATCTCCCAGCTGCTGCCCTCTGGCCATTCTGGAAGTTGGAACCTGAGGGACAGAGCACTTAACCACCAGAGTGACCCAGCCACCAAGCCTTCCACCAGCTGACTATCTGACCGTGGGCCCGGTTATCAGCAGTATTCGTCTCCAGTGACTGTTATCAACATCACCCCCTCTGGAATCCAGAATCTCCATGGACAGCCCCCAAAGGAATGATATGGAGTGACCACTGCCCACCCCTCCCTGTCCATCTCATACTGCCTTCCCCAGATCTCCTGCAAGCCTCTATCTTTGAAGAAGCCGTTCCCCAAGTGCTCTCAGACCAGTACTCACAGTCTACCAGGTTCCCTGTAAGTTTTCAGCAGGCAGACAGTTTCTTCCCGCTGGCCCCCACTCCAAAAGAGGCCCTGGAGCTCCAGCAGGAAGCACAGCCTCCTGGGCCATCCCCAGGGAAGCCGCCTTTGGTCCTCATCTGGGGCAGAGCCTCCCTCCATGCCCAAACATGGTCAAGTCTGAGCACACAGCCCCAGGACACAAACTCGGTGGAGAGCAGGTAAGAGCCAGTGGGGCTGCCAGCTGTTACACAGGCCCCTGCACCTGTGTTGCCCAGAGTCTGGTGGGAAATAGATTTCAAACAATAACAGACAGCAAAATGGAGCAGCCAGGGGAAAGACTGCTTTGGTATATTTGGAAATATTTCTTGTTCACTCCATCTCTCTGGGTTGGCAGAGAAGGCAGGAACGGAAAATGATTTTCCTTTTGTTGATGTGGGGGAGGGAGGAGGAGTTGAAACTCGAGAGTGGGCTTATCAGCCATGGGGGTAGGGGCCTAGTATATCCATGATGGAGCAGCAAAATTCCTCCTGCCTTCACTGGATACCTATACATGCTATGTGAGCCAGGGCAAGTCACTGCACTTTTCTAAGCCTCAATTTTCTCATCTATGCTATTGGGAGGAGCTCTGGTGAAGTGGTGGTTAAAGCATTTGGCTGCTAATCAGAAAAGTTGGTGGTTTGAACCCACCAGCTGCTCCATGGGAGAAAGATGAGGCAGCCTGCCCCGTAAAGATTTACGACCTTAGAAACACCATGCAGCAGTTCTACTCTACCCTAGAGGACTGCTATGAGTTGGAATTCACTCCATGGCAGTGGGTGTGGTTTCTTGGTTTGGTGCTATCAGGAGTTTTATAACATGTAGATGGCACAGGAATAGGTGATGTCATGTTCATTGTTTGTGGGGTCATCACGAATCAGGAACCAACTCCATGGCAGCCAACAACAGCAACAACAACCACCCTCCGTTTACCTTGGGTCAGACGAAGAAAGTGAAACTGAGGCTTAGAGGCCTTCAGTAACTGGTCCAAGGTTATTCTGCTCCAGTATTCGAGCCACATTCAGAGCCAGCCAGCTCAGATTGCAAATCCTGTGTTGTCTCTGCTAACCTGATGCTGTTCTAGGACATAAAATTAGCCACTCTTATAGTTACAGCCACCAGAGGCTCTGGAGGTCACCTCAAGTGTCCCCAACCCCCAGGAAGGTGAGTTCAGGCTAGCACTCCCTGTTTAATGAGCCCCACCACCTCCCTCCCTCCTACCCAGCTGTCAGAGAGACAACAGCCATAGAAATGAGAGCGCTGTTTAGGTCTCCCTGATGCACTCTCTAGTGGCTAGTTTCCTCCCACCTCCCCTTTCCTAATTGAATTAATAGAAGAGCAAATTGTCTGTTTAATGGGCCTCATAGAAAAAGGCAGTCTTGGAAGGTCAGCCTTAGACCCCAAGGGCAATTTGCAATGAAGGACACAGGACCTGGAATAAACATTGGATGGCTAGTGTAAGACTCGTCCTTGATCCATTCAGGGGCCCGAAGAGTCCTCCTGGGGCCCAGGAACTAATCCCAAAATATGAATCCTTCCTCTTGGCCCCTTGGGAAAGAGATGCCCAGTGTAACAGACTGCCATTTTTGAGCATGACTAAAGGGCTACTTAATCATAGTTGACTGAATCAATTGCTAAGGATTATCACATTTGGAATTTATAAACAAGCATTAGCATTCATCCCAAGGCCCAGGGTTGTCTTCCTCTTGGAAGCCAGGAACAGTCAGGAAAAAGGGGCTGAGAGCTCTTTCCTGCAGGTCCGTGAACCACAGTCAAAGAACACTTAGACTAACCTTTTTCTCAGGGAGCTCTGGTAGTATAGTGCCTAAGGCACTTTACTGCTAACCAGAAGGCCTGAGGTTCAAACCCACCAGCCCCTCCTCAGAAGGAAGGTTGGCAATCTACTTCTGTAGTGATACCGCCTCGGAAACCCATGGAGGGGTCATTTTGAGTCAGAGCCCACTCGACGGCACATAACAACACAACAACAACCTTTCTCTCAAGGGTATGTTGATGGAACCCTGGGTTCTCTGCTGCCAGAGAGCTGGGTGTGACAGATTGTGTGGAGCAAGAAAATAAGGGTGGAATCACAATAAACACTGATTTTTGCGTAAGTACAAGGGGTAAAAAAAAAAAACAAACAGATGCTTGGTTGATTCCAAGTCATGATAATCCCATGTGTATAGAGTAGAACTGCCTTCCATAGAATTTTCAAGGCTATGTTATTTTGGAAGAAGATTGCCAGGTCTTTGTTCTGAGGCATCTCCAGGTGGGTTCAAACTGCCAATCTTTTAGTCGAGTGCTTAACTATGCCACCCAGAGACCACATACAGGGGGCCAGAGATCACAAAATATTTTCCTCAAATTTAGTTTTCCAACAACCCCATACGATGATAGCACTGCTCACAATAACCAGGTGAAGGTTTTCCTCCCCACTTCATACAGGGCATAACAGAGCCAGAGTTGTTAAATAAATTGCCCAAGACAAGTTCCTTGCCTGTTTCAGGCTTAATGTGTTTCTTATGGGTTGAATTATTTCTTCAAAAAAAGATATGTTGAAGACCTAACCACAGGTGCTTATGAATGTGACCATACATGGAAATAGGATCTTTGCAGATGCAGTCAATTAAGTAACATAAATTCATATTGGTGTAGAAAACTTAAAAATCAAACTCATTACCATAGAGTCAATTCTGACTGATGGGAATCCATGTGTTACAGAGATGAACTAAACTCCATGGTTTTCTTGGCTGTTATATTTATGCAAGCAGATAGCCAGGCCTTTCTCCTGTGACAACTCTGGTTAGGTTCAACCTGCCAACTTTCCAGTTAGCAGTAGAGTGCAAACTCTTTGTACCACCCAGGGATCTTCAGTGGAGTAGGGTGGGCTTTCATTCAATATGACTGGTATCCTTATAGGGAGCTCTGGTGGCACTGTGGTTAAGACATTGGGCTGCTAACCAAGAGGTCAGTAGTCCGAACCCACTAGCCACTATGTGGCACAGAGATGAGGCAGTCTGAGACCATAAAGATTTACAGCCTTGGAAAACCTATGGGGGTTGCTATGAGTCGGAATTTCTATTTGCTTGACTGCTAACCAGAAGGCTAGTGGTTCAAACCCTCCAGCCACTCCTCAGAAGGAAGACTGGGCAATCATTTCTGTAGTGATACTGCCTCAGAAACCCAAGGAAGGGTTGCTATGAGTCAGGACTGATTTGACGGCAATGAGTTTTTGTTGTTGTTGTTGTTGTTGTTTATCCTTATAAAAAGAGGAAAATAGATACAGAGACAGTGAGACAGTGAGAGACATGCAGAGAAAAAATGCCCATGTAATGATGGAGGCAGAATTTGGAGTGTTGCATCTACAAGTCAAGAAACACCAAGGGCTGCTGGGAGCCAGAAGTTGGAAGAGACAAGAAAGCATCTTCACTTACCCTCCAGAAAGTCCATGACCCTGCTGACACTTTAACTTTGTACTTCTGACCTCCAGAACTCTGAAGCAATAAGTGTCTGTGGAATTATATTAGGAAAGCCCTAGGAAATTAACACATTATCTATCTCTAAAATGGAGATAATTATACCTAGACCTTCAGTGTTTTTTGAGGAATAAGAGATTGCTTAACCGATCTGAGACATAGTGTGGCAGATTACAGTTTCCATAAATAACGACACCAACTGGTTTTTCAAAGGATCAGTGCTGCTTTACAACATCTACTTGAACTGCTTTACAGGCACCCATCCCATATGCTCTTCCTACAATGTGACATTAACACACCTCCATCAAGAGGGGGAGTCTATGTTCTCTTCCCTTCAACTAGGAAGAGCTTTGTAACTGCCTTGCCACTAGAATGTGGTAGGAGTAATACTGTATAACTTCCAAAGTGAATCATCAACAGTGACATAGCGTCTACCTGGCTCTATCTCTGGAACCCTACCCTTGGAAGCAGCCACCGTGTTGTGAAAAAGCTGAAGTCACATGTAGGTGTTCCAGCCTACAGCCCCAGCTCACTCTCAACCAACCCCTACCACCAACCACCAGACACGTGAGTGAACAAAGCTTCAGAAGACTCCAGCTCCCAGCCATCAAGTCTCCAGCTAAGGCCACAGACATCTCGAAGCAGAGACAAGCTGCCCCTTCTATGTTCTCTCCAAATCCCCAACAATAATAAATGGCTGTTTTATACCACTATGTCTTGGGTTCATTTTTATACTCCAGAGTAATGGGAAATCACTGTAAGTGATTTTAAAAGGGACCTGTTGTTGTTGCTTGTGTTACTGGTATATTTAACCAAAGGGAATTAGAAAGCCTGAGAACAGTACCCTGTATATGGGCTGCTACCGGGGAGCTTTAGAAATGCTCTATCTGTTTCCTTATCAATATACTCACTGTTGCACTAATGGAATAAGAGAGCAGTAATATGGGAGCTTATTGTCATTTACTGAGAATCTACTATGTGCCAGGGTTTGAGCCACATGCATATTCATAAAACCAAAAAAACCAAAATCACTGTCATCAAGTCAATTCTGACTCATAACGACTCCCTTTGGGTTTCCAAGGCAGTAAATCTTTTCAGAAGTAGGTTGCTCAGTCATCCTTCTGTGGAATGGCTGGTGGATTTGAACCACCAAACTTCTGGTTAGCAGTCGAATGTCTTAGGCACGCACCACCAGAGAGGTCCTTACATATTCTCACACACACACACACACACACACACACACACACACATAACCAACCAGTTGCTGTGAAGTTGCCCCTGACTCATAGTGACCCCATGTGTGTCAGAGTAAAACTGTGCTCATAGGGTTTTCAGTGGCTGATTTTTTGAAAGGCAGGAATCTTCTGAAGGCTTACCAGGGCTTTCTTCCAAGGTACCTGTGGATGTGCTCAAATAGCCAAACTTTTTGTTTAGCTAAATGTGTTAACAATTTGCACCACTCACATATGTACATATATATTACACATATATACACATAAAATCCTCTCAACAATTCCATAAGAGGCCTT